TCAAGAAAGAAAAATTCCTTTTTTTTTTTTTTTTAGGTTTTCACTATAGGGTGCGTGCGCTTGCCAGACAGGGACCAGAAAGCGAGAAGTGACCCCCCCCCAGGAGGGATGGTCACACCGCAATTCCTTCTCCTCCATTCTCCTCTCAGGATCTTGGGTATGCATGCACACGCGCCCAGCGTTGAGTTTTAAGCCACTGGGTCTGGGATGTGAATCGCGATCAACCACGTGAGAGTCCAGCGACATAGCCATTACGCTAACTGCTGGTTCCCAAGAAATATTCTTTATATACCTATCATGGCTCGCATGTCCAGCGTTTATGATAAAACCTACAGTAGCCGGTAGCAATGTCCTAGCCTTTCCATCCACTCACCTGCTCACCCAGAGCAAGCGCCATGCCTGCAACCTCCACCCAATTTGATCTATTTAGTTTTTAGAGAGACTTTGCTATAGGGTACATGTGTTCGCCAGAGAAAGAGAGATGGAGAGACAGAAAGCAAGAAATTGCTCCCCGAAGTGGATGGCCATAGTGCAATCCCTTCCCATCCATTCTCCTCTCAGATCGTAGGCACACGTGCCCGGTGTGAGTTTCAAGCTGCCGGATGCAGGACCTGAACCGTGGTTGGCCATGTGGAATCCAGCGATGTAACCATCATGCCCTCTGTTGGTCCTTCCACCCATTTAAGTGTCCTACCTAGGTGTGCCATTTTTTAGCCTTTATGATTTCAGCATGTTTTACTGTACCTTTTCTGTGTTTGGTTACGTTCACACACATGAATCCTGCGACCGTCCCACTGCCCACTCACTGGGACTCGGTGCTGTGGCCCAGGAGCCGGGGCCGCACTGCCTGAGTGTGTGCAAGCACACCAGGTGACAGTCCTGCAGCGGGGCCGCCGCCTATAGCGCAGTTCTCAGAAGGCACCACACCGCTGAGCGACGCAGGCAGAGGGTGGCTGCAAGGCCTCCAGTGCCAAGTGCTGAGCGATTGTGGCGTCACCTTTTGACTCCAAGCTTTTGAGAAGTCCTACAGATGCTCACACACTGGCTAGCTGTCGCAACTGAATGTCAAAATGCATGAAGTTCTAAGCGGGAGGACCCAGGAGCAGAGAACAGTGGCCAGACTGCCTTTGTCTGTGCCCGCCCTCCTAGTGAGGAGCTGAGATTCATGGCACCACATGGTGCCACCGGGGGCTACCCTTCAGTCCCCTGCTGCATCGCCAGGGGCTGCAGACCCAGGAGGCTTAGTCGGCCTGGAGGCTTCTCTGCTGCACAGCGCTGCCTCTCCACCTGAAAGTCGGGCCTGGGAGACAGGGCAGCCCCACCCAAGGGCAGCCCAGCCAGCGCCTCTTGACCTCCCTGCTAGCCACCCTGCGCCTGTGTCCTTCACGTGGGGCTGTCCTGGGCGCTATGGGACACCACGGGACGCCATGCTCCTCTGGCATCGAGATCACGAAATGCCACCAACTCCTGCAAGTACTGACACCCGCAGTGTCTGCAGACACCTCTGCCACGGTGCTCTGGGCAGGCCGCTCCGGCTGTGGGTGCCTGGGCCAGGGTCGGCGTCCTGGCAGTGACGGGCTGGTATCTCCACAGGCGAAGCTCTCTGTGCCCACGTGTGCCTGAGACAGGCCACAGGACGGGATGTCCCGCATGGCTGTCAGCCTCAAGGGTCATCCTTCCACCCTGAACACCTAATTTCTAATAAACTGGGTTGACCCAGGGTTCTAAGCTATGTGAGCTGAAAAAAAGAAAAAAAAAGATTTTTAAAAACCAATTCAAACATGCAGCTTCCTTAGCTTTAGAAAGAAGCAGTGAAGGTCCTAGAGCCAAGGAGCATGGACAGCCTCCAGGCTGGTTAGGAAGGGGCCAGAACAGGAACAGAAGTGGCCCAGCTGCTGTACTCTGATCGCCCGCGTGTCTCCCAGGCCCCCAGGAACTGCGCAAACACCGGCACGTAGAAAGAAAAAGGCCCAGGGTTTCCAGCAGGAGATATCGAGGAGGGCTCGGAGCGGCTGCTCTCCCACCGCCCGTCTGCCCAGAGCCGGCAAGGGTGGGGCCGGCCAGGCGCTCCATCTGCTCTCAGGGGCACGCCAGGAGACCGCGTGGGAAGTGGGGGCTGCACTGGAGGCAAGGCCACGGGCACCAGCGTGGAGGCGGCGCAGCACTCAGACACTGCTTCCCTTCCCTCCACACCTGCCCTGCACTTTTTGACTGCGTTTTAAATCGGTTTATCACAGGCCGCATACGCTCATGAGAGACCTAGATGTAGGACAGGAAGTAAGAAATCACCCCGGGGGAAGGCCATGCTGCAAGCCCTCCTCCTCCTGGGACCCTGGGCGCAAGTGCACGGACACTTTGTGCATGGTGTGATTTTCAAGCCACCAGGTCCAGGACTTGAACCATGGCAGCCGTATGGGAGTCCAGCGATGGAACCACTACACCATCTGTTGGCTCCAGACTATCTGACTCTAAAGTACGTGAGGACATACATGGATTTGAGGTACAATTTTAATTTTAAAATACTTAGGAATATGCCAACAGAAAGTAGCCAGGCAGAGGGAGGGCCTGGCAGTTGACGGCTGTTACGGAACGGCTAAGCCAGTGCCAGAGTGATGACCGACATGGTGGGAGGCCCAGCCCTGTCCTAGAGCTCGTGTTGGGCTCACCTCTGACGGGATTCGGGAACTGCAGCACGCCTGGCGAGACTACACCTTCCCAGGGATTGTGTGACTGAGATGTCTGATTTTAGAAAGACAAGGGGAAAAAAGGCGAGAAAAGCATCTTTAGTACAAAATAACATGCAAGCGATCTTCGAAGGACACACTGGAAGAGTCTCTCGTCATCGCCTAGTGGTGTCCCAGCGCTGCTTCCTGTGGGGCTCGGGGCCAGTGCCGGCTAGGGTGCCTGGGCTGCTCATCCACCCCGTCAGACCTTCCCGTGTATCGGCAACTCTGCACCGCGACTCAGCAACTGCGAACACGGCTGCGCGTGGCCTCTGCACAGTGTGGTTACTGGCCCTTTTTGGTAAGTAATGGGGTCTCCACCGGAAGCCCGATGGAGCACCTACAGGACCCACGTGAGGTCAGTGAGGTCAGTGATCTCAGCGCCACCTTCCCAAGTCCCCGAGAAAGGCAGCGGTTTAGGGAGGTCTCACTGAAGGGCAGGAAGCCCTCTGCCACCAGGTGATGTCAGCAACAGACCAAACTCTCCACTTGCCTATTTCCACCAGCTTAAACACCAGGCCGCCCTCCTCCCCAGTCCTCCAGTCTATAACACTCCCCCGGCCGACCCACCTGGAAAACTCTTACCAACCTTTAAATCCCAGTTCAAGAGCTGTACTCTTTCTAATTGCCGAGTATGTGCGCATGTGCAGGAGGGAGATGCAGCCCTCCCGCAGCATGGCCCGACACAATGCCTTCTCCCACTCCTCCCTCTCGGCAGGCACAGGCCACACACAGCCCGCATGTTTTCAAGCTGACACGGCCAAGACTCACATGCAGGTTGGCCATGTGGGATCTGGCTCCCACAGCTACCACCTTCACCGTGCACAGAAGCGGCCCTGGAGGACCACACGTGAGGAGGATCCCGCAGGCGGAAGCCCACTCTCTGCTACCCGAGGTTTACACTGCCCTTCTTGCCCGGGGACATATTCACATGGGTCTCCCACACCGGACCACCTGTGCTGCTCCAGGAGAGGAGCAGGGCCTGCACCCTCTCCCCTCCACGAGCACAGGAGGGCGGCGCCTGGCACAAGCAGCTTCCAGGAAGTCTGCTCTCAACTGGCCTGCTGTCACAGTGGGGCCACAAAGCTGAAGTCAAGACAACCAGGAGATTAAAGCCAAAGAAACTCTGTCATCAGGCCACTGCGGGGGCTAGCTGGCTTCCGGGGGTGGGGGGGCGCGCGCTGTGTAGGGCCCCACCGAGTGTGAGGCCACGGCATCTGAGAGGAGAAATTCTCGCACTCCTGCTCCCCACCTCGACGTGACCCTGACCCAAGTAAGCCGGAGTCCTAAGCAGTGCCCAGCACACCGGAGTAGGAGTGACGGAGAGGCCGCTCCTCAGTGTGGACTGTCTGCTCTGCAGGACTGTCCCTGCCACTGAGCAGGCAGTCCAGGGTCCCCAGGTCTAAGGTCTCGGGACAGAGACCCGGGCATGTGAATGCTGGAAATCCGACTCTGAATGCCGGGCTCACAAGCACCCTGGCCCTGAAGGTGCTGCAGGCCAGCCTAGGCAGCAGGTGTCCTCTGAGGGTCAGCCTCCCCTCCCTGCTGCCGGAAATGACCGTTAAGCCGCATTAGGCAGGGTGGCGCTCCAGCAGCCTCAACCTCTAGCCACTTATCCTACCTTAATGGGGTTTCGAGAAAGGAACTTGCTAATAACCAAGTGACTGTGTCCTTAGTAGACACCGGGCAAGCGTAAAGCCACTGCTGGAGCCTAGCGTGGCGAGGAACAAGAGGCTCCCGAAACTCAGGGCGGAAGGCCGGGTCTTTGTGCTGCTGAAGACGGCTCGTCCGCTTCGTGTGAACACAAGCGTGGCTCGATCATGCATACATGTATGCACACGTGGACGTGCACACGGGTCATTTCTCCCTCGCTTTCACAAGGTGTCCCAGTCCGCGCCAAGCCGGAAGGCAGAGGACACAAAGCCATCCCGGTGCATCTAACCCTGTCCTGGGAGCTACGCACAGAAACGCCCCCGTGCCTCGGCCTGGAGGCTGAGAGTCCGAGCGGCTCGGCGCCCAACCTACGTCCGGCACTCATCGCGGATTCCAGAGGGTTTCCCGTCCGCGTGGGAAACCTGGGAAGGCGTCCTGGACGCGCGGGTGTTTGTGCCGGGCCTCGACGTGAGCCTCGGCGGACTAGGGAGAAAAGGACATCCGGGTCGGGGCGGCCAGCTGGGTCGCAACGCGAGGGTTCGCGGGCACCACCCGGGACTCAGCAAAAACCCGTGCGCCGCCCCCGCCCCGCGCCCCCCCGCCGGCACCGGCCCGGCTCCGCTCGGCGCGCAGGGCCAACTGCTGCCGCCATCTTCCCGAGGAGAGGCCGCGGGAAGGCGCCCTCCCCGCGCACGCCCTGTACTCAGCACCGCCGGCCTTCCCGCCACCTGCCCCCTGCAAACTTGCCCGGTCCCCAGCAAAAAGACGCCCTTCCCGCACTTTAGTTGCCCACGAGGAGAGGATCTCATTACCTGTTCCCTCTTTTTGGTGTAAGGAAACCAAGCTCACAAGGTAGGAACTGTGGCGAAACACGGGCAAGCC